TAGATACATTTTCAATGAAAGTAGCATAAACCAGCACTTTTGGGCTCTGGAGTCCAGGGGCCTTTGAGCAGCTGCTTGACTCAGTTAAAAAAGAGAATATAAAATCTGTAAGAAGAAACTATTGCATGGTTGGCTAAAAAAGCCCTGACACGTTTGCTCCTTTTTAGGTCTTCAGACCAGCCAGGATGCCCACTTTTACGCCACGTCGGCCCGCTTTGAGCCCTTTAGCAATGAGGGAAAGCCCCTGGTCGTTCAGTTCACTGTCAAGCATGAACAGAAGATTGACTGCGGAGGCGGCTACGTCAAGATCTTCCCCTCTGACCTCGACCAGAGTGATATGCACGGAGACTCTCAATATTACATCATGTTTGGTGAGTTTGTTCTGTCATGTTTGTTTTGTAAACGGCCTGAGCATGGAACATAACTTTTGGAGAGATGTATGATGCACTTTCCTGATAACAAATTTTGACATTTAGCTGTTTTAAATGCAATCATTGTTTTTGCTTAATCTTTAATGTTAAATAATAGAAATTAAATCCATCTCAATGTCTCCAGGGCCTGACATCTGTGGATACAGCACAAAGAAGGTTCATGTAATCGTGAATTACAAGGGCCAGAACCACCTCATCAAGAAAGACATCAAATGCAAGGTTGCCTTAGCAAACAGCACATTGAATAATTTAGACATTATTCATACTTTCTCTTGCTCCTTTTAAATTCACTTCTTCCTCTCCCCAGGATGACGAACTGACCCACCTGTACACATTGATACTGAACCCAGACCAGACGTATGAGGTGAAGATCAACAATGAAAAGGTGGAGTCTGGCTCGCTGGAGGATGACTGGGACATGCTGCCCCCAAAGAAGATCAAGGACCCCGAGGCCAAGAAACCCAGCGACTGGGATGACAGGGCCAAGATTGACGACCCCAGCGACACCAAGCCTGAGGTAGGAAATGATTTTAAAACTCAATAACTTAGCTCTTATGTGCAATGTGAATGGATATGATCATCATTTACTCCTGGCTCACATGACTTATGAGTAGATACTATTTTTAATTGACTTTGGCTCTGATAAGCAGTGATTGAAATGTGGTCAACTCGCTTATTTGGCAGACAGCGAGGTGAGAGAGCCTCTTTATTTTTACGTTTGTGCTACTACTGGCAATAGGGAAGGAGTCACTTACCTTTTTTTCCACGTTCTTACCTGCGTTTTGGGTACTGTGATGGAGGGATGGAGAACTCAGGGGGCAGCGTGTGTCTTACGCACAAAGGTTTATTGCAAGCTTGATGTAAATGAGAGACGAATGGGTGATTGTAAACCCCAAGTCTAAAGCTGTCTTACACAGCAATCCCAATTTATCTCCTTTTCTCCCCACCTCGCATCACCTATTCCAACAACACGTTCCATGAAAAGGCTAGAATGAAAGGCTAGAAATGCGGTCACTCTCTATGTTACATGTAGGTGTTAGCATCTTATTGAAGAGTTAAACCTAAATCCTGTTCTGTCCTTGCATCTTGATTCTAATATAATTTAGAAAAGAGTTGGTGCCTCTCTGTCTGGGGGTTTTGAATGAGATATGATATTCACTGTTCCATATACATTTTAAACCAGCTTTGAAAAGCCAGAAAAAATATATATCGTATGCACAGGGTTATTAAATTGCATTTTTAATGATTTGAGTGGTAACTCCGAACCTGCCATTTTCCAGGACTGGGACATGCCAGAGACCATCCCTGACCCGGATGCCAAGAAGCCTGACGACTGGGACGAGGACATGGACGGAGAGTGGGAACCCCCCATGATCACCAATCCAGAGTATAAGGTACAGCTTGTGCTGCCAAGCACATGGGCCAGAGCTTTGGTCAATCACCATATCAAATTCCTTTACTGGTGTTTGTGTAGAATTGAATGTATGTTTTAGGTTTTGGGTCGTGGGTTTATATTTTGAAGGCATTATGTCTGTCACGGAACTGGTGGGATAACAAGCAGCTCTAACCCCTGTCGTGTTATCTCTGCAGGGGGAGTGGAAACCCAAACAGATTGACAACCCTGACTACAAGGGAGCCTGGGTCCACCCTGAGATTGACAACCCAGAATACACTCAGGACGCCACAATGTACAAGTTTGACAACATTGGAGTTCTGGGCCTGGATCTGTGGCAGGTAACAATCTCCTCTCACACTGACAGAGTCTAAGTGTATATATACAGAGTTAATGAATGTTATGTAGTAAAAGTCTATGATGCAAGAGTTGAATACGAGGGGGGTTCCTTGAATAAATGATTACTGTGTTTGTCTTCAGGTAAAAGCTGGCACCATCTTTGACAACTTCCTGATCACTGACAATGTCAAAGAAGCTGAGGAGTTTGGGAAGGAAACCTGGGGAGTTACAAAGGTAGGACTGTATTCAGATTGACTAAATACTGTACTGTATATTTGAGATCAAATAAAAGGATATTTCATCTACTTTGACTATTTAGCTGCATTTACCTTAATTTAAAAAATGTTCCTTCTCACCACTGCAAAGACCCAGTGTTTGATTCACAGCAACATTGTTGTTTAATTCTATGAACATGGGGAATGGGAAGCCAGCAGGGATAACATCATTGTACTTTGTCGTTCAGTGTTGTTTGGTGGGACATACCAGGAGATGGTTAAAGTGTCAAGGAGCGTAATGTGTAGAGGACAGGCCATTTTAAATTTTGATAAAAGATGGCATTTTATTTGCATAGAATTTTTCTTTAGAAATTTCTAACATGTCTGAGGAAAATGTTCATATTTCCAACAATATAATCCTTCTTTCATTGTATCTGCCTTTCCTGCATTATGTCACCCACATGCTAGGTTGTTAAATTGTTAACAGCTACAGCAAGGTTAACATTTGCGTCCATGTTGTCGTTACTTAACCAACTCAACTCCAAGCACACCATGTATACAACTTCCCACTTCATAACCACAAGCTCATTAGTTCAATTTGAAAGTAGCAAATTAGTGATCATCTTCAACGACAACTTTACCACCATCCTCTTGTTCAAAACATAAAATAACTTTCTTTTCCCACCAGGAACCAGAGAAGAAGATGAAAGAGGAGCAGGAGGACGCAGAGAGGAAACTGAGGGAGGAGGAGGAGAAGAGCAAGAAGGTTGAGGAGGAGGATGATGAGGAAGATGGTGAGGAAGAGAATGAGGGGGAAGAGGGCGAGAACGACGAGGAGGACACTGGGACAGAAGACGACAGTGACGTGAAAGAGAAGGATGAGTTGTAGAGAAGCCTGTGGACTGCTGTGTGCTTCTCTCTGTGCGGGTCCAAACCACAGAAAATGAGTGAAAGCCACTGATGGACTCTGGCCTGTCATACAGCAGCCATTTGTTCAAGTGGCAGGGGGGTCAGATCAGATTTATTTTTTATTGATCCTTGTTTTACTTTTTTTTGTCTTCAGACTATAGAAGGGAGAAGGGTTTACTTGTTGTTTTTCCTTACGTTTTGGTTGAGAATTTTCTAATCTTATGCGATTTTCCTATTGTGGTCGATCCCGTGATGTGTGCGTGTCCTGCAGTTACTCACAGTGACAATTCCTTTTTATTACTGCGGTTGCTGGGATGTCCAGTAAAATCAAGGATCTGTGATATCTGGTCCATGCACTTTCCTCTCCTGTATGGTGTAGTACTGCTTGTTTTTCGAATGGATCCCCTTCATAATTTATTTAATCATAATATGAATCCACCGAAAATACACATGTCCTTCCTCCAATTCTGTGTGTGTGTGCCTGTGTGTGAGTGAGAGAGTGTGAGACTGCATAAAACAAACTGTGATTTTTTTTTTTTACAATTCTCATTTAGCCATTTTTCTGGATGAGTGGCTGTTTTGGGTGCACACTGTTTTTTTCTGTTCTTGAGTTTCTGCCAATAAATTGAAGCTTCTCTCTAAAACCTGACCCCTGTTTTCAATGATGGTGGTAGATGTGAATATGTGAATGTAGGGCTATAGGCAATATAATAATTTTGATCATTGTCACAATATAAGTTTCATCAATAGCAATATAACAAAAGTCCAGATGTATTGATACAACACATGTGCAAGCACAGTGGAATGTTCAAAGGTTCAGTGTGTAAGATTTAGGTGAAATGGATCTATTGGCAGAAATTGAATATAAAATAATCCTAGCGATGTTTTCACTCGTGTGTAATCATCTAAATTCTATGAATTGTTGTTTTCTTAACCCTAGAATCAGTCCTTTATATTTAAATACTTTATATTTACATCTGGAGTGGGTCCTCTCTACGGAGGCCGCCATGGTTTTTACATATCGTCGAAACTGGACAAACTAAAACCTTTTTTATGACAACTGAAGCTGCCACAGGTTCTCCTTTATGTTTGGACAGGAGTGGGTGTGAGATGAGGGGTGTTAAGCTGCAACATGCAACTTCACTTAATTGTGCACCCAATCTTTTTTAACTCATAGACTAATAGATCTATCTCAGGTTTGTGAAATGATTTGCTTAATAAGTGTGTAATGCTCATAAAGAGGAGTTTAAAAACACAAGGAGCAAATCAGTCTTTAATGTTTAAAGAAACTATTAATAACCACTGATGTGAACATTTGTATCTTGATATAATTGTTGACCATATTGCTCAGCCATATGTTCAGTGTTTGCATGAGTTGTGACTTTTTGAAGCGCATGTGTCATCAAATTGTTGAAGTTGTTTTCTTAATTTGCAGTGCGCTGAGCTCTCTCGGCCACCTTAGCTTTGGAAATACCTGATCTAAATTTAAGTCTGAGATATGGCATCCTGAGATGCATTTGATGTCAACATTCAATTTAAAAACAAACGTTTTAATCAAATTTACGGCAGGCACATCAGACTTGTGTCTATTATCAGCCTTATAACCGCTACAGGAAAAATACTAAACATGAGCCACGAGCAGACATTAGACCGCACTACCGGGTTTTTTTTTTTGGCTCATTTATCTGCGTTCTCCGTCTGTTGAATATTTCCGACGGCACTTGAATGCGGCAGCGTCCGGTGCCTCGCGTCCAGCGGTAGGTGGCGCTCGTGGCCCTCGGCTGCACTGACAGCAGACAGCTGAGTCACAGACCGCGTTCAGGAGGCTCGCTCGCATCAACGCCAGGTAAACAGCGAGGGAAGGAGCCCGCGGAGCCCGAGGACTCGACCCGACAGCGAGCGAACTTTGTGGCCGCAGCCGCCCTGGAACCATGCTGACGATAACACTGAAGACCCTCCAGCAGCAGACGTTCAAGATAGAGGTAGAGGCAGAAGTGACGGTGAGTACAAGTCCAACGGGCTCGAGTCAACAGGCCGGGAGCTGCCGCTCACGCTGGGGCGCTCGCGGGGGGGGGTGGCAGCTAACGTCGAAGCGTGGCCGCGGCGCCGGCTGCTCGGCTGCGCGTGAAGCAGGAGGACGATGCGTGGTGCGTGTTTCGAACACTGCCGTCACCCGAACATTACAGACATGTCTGATCTTTCACTGGCCGGGTTCATGCGAGGTGATGGAGCCAGCGTCACGCCGAGGCTTTCCCTTCAAAGTAAAGGCGCAGGGTCTTTGAGGGGATTCAAGCATGCCACTGTCTGTGTGAAAATGAAACCGTAGGATCGTGTGTTGATGGGCTGAATAATGCAAAGGAACGCAGTATATTATACTGTGTGTGTTCTTTTCCACAGTGTACGTGAAAGAGGCATGCCGGGGGATTTATTTTGAAAACAAGGACCGGAAACGTCTTTACTTTACGTGTAACTTGATGGTTGACTTGTTTTGTGTCTCACCATGAATGACGGTGCAATAATTTCAAACTCCTCATATTAGCTCTGTATAGCTAATCATTTTGAATTATCATGCAGCAAGAAATGAAGAATTATTTATACTTGGTTTATATTGCTAATGATATTTCTATATCGTGTTGTAAGTAATATAGAATTAGTTATATGAGATGTTTATAACTAATAATCTTTCCTTACACAGTAAGAAATATAGAATTATTTATATCTGGTTTATATTACTAATCATATTTCCATCTCATATAGTAAGTAGTCTAGAATCATTTACATTTGCTTTATATTAAGAATAATATTCCACATTAAACAGTTAGTAATCTAGAATTATTTATATTTGGTTTATATTACTAGTGATATTTCCATATCATATAGTAAGCAAGCTAGAATTATTATATTCAGTTCTATTCAGTTAAATTGCATTTGTATAGTGCCACATCACAATAAACATTACCTCAAGGCACTTTACATAGAAGGTCAAGACCTCAAAACTTATAGACGAAACCAACAGTTCCCACAATGAGCAGCACTTTGGCGACTGTGGAGAGACAAACTCCCTCATTAACAGGGAGAAGCCTCTCGAAGAACCAGACTCAATGTCTGCCTCAATCCGTGTATCATTCATTTCACCGGTCAAGGCAAATCCTTGTGTCATTCATTCTTTTCATATTCAATTAGAAAACCAAAATCAGAAAATTCAAAAACAAGTCATTATTTCGTTATTCCTTTATGAATCTAATACAAAGCACAAATAACCGGTTGGGGGGAGCAGAGAAAAATGGGGTAGAAAGAAGAGAGAGATAGGGAGGAGAGGGAGAGAGAGAGGAGGGAGAGACCAGGAACACTTGTGCACCATCAGCTTTCATCTCTGTGAAAACAACAAGAGTGTAACAATGTTATTGATTATTAATGGTAACAGCAACAATTCATAGAATAATAATTAATAATAAGTACTGTTGTTAATAATAATAATAATAATAATAACAATAATGATAATAATAATTGTTGTTATCCTGCAGCACTGGAGTTAGAGATACCCGCAAAGAGAGAGAGGTCTATAACAAATAATATTTCCTTATTATATAGTAAGAAATCTTGAATTATATATATTTGGTCTAAATCACTATAAGTTTGCAAGTTATTTTAAAAAAAGGACACACACAAACACACTCATGCACGCACACACACACACACACACACACACACACACACACACACACACACACACAACTGACGCACACACACACACACCTTCACCAATGCCCAATAGTTTACTTATATCGAATCAAAACACACTTTATTCCACATACTAATGCATATCTGCAAATATGCTTGTTTTTTTTTTTACCATGACTTTTAATTTTCCTTGGGAAATTAGTAAAAATGTCAAAAACATCTTCAACAGACAGACAGAACGACACAGACAAACAAACAGGGGTGAAAACCTAACCTCCTTGATGGAGGTTAAACAGTTACATGTTCATATGAATGTTTCATTGACAGCAACAGCCGGCACATGTGTTCAGCGGCACAGTGTAACACCTATGAACACCTACACAGTGTAACACCTATTAACGTCAACGTTTTATCTGCTGATATTTTTAAGGTGAAAACCCTGAAGGAGAAAATAGAGGAGGACAGAGGGAAAGATGCATTTCCTGCTGCAGGACAGAAACTCATCTATGCAGGTGAGTGAGTCAGACAGGAAAAATGCATTGAAATATCATATTCACTGAAACAGCAGTGAGATGACTCCTCATCCTGATTAGGTTGTTATTATTAGTCCAAAGTTTGTTTTAAGTGACAAGCATTTATCTCCATGGACAGGAGTATGTTGCATGTCAAGGTGCTGTGACTGTTTCTTAAATTGAATTCAAAGCAGCACTTAAACTGCACCATATGCAGTAACATGAAACAGTCTACACTTCAACTACTAAAAGTTGCTCCACAGGATAATAACTTATCATCTGTGTAACTAAGTCTTGTTTTGATTCTGTTCAGGTTCATATTCACACGTGTCATTAATTGTTTTTTATTCACTGTCTCTGCTTGAATGCCACAGGCAAAATCTTAAATGATGACACCCCGTTGAAGGAGTACAAAATCGACGAGAAAAACTTTGTGGTGGTCATGGTTACCAAGGTCAGTGTCTTTTCAGATGGTTTATTAGAGACATTCATGCCATACTCAGACACTTTTACTCATTTCAAGTCACTTTAACTTTTCCTTAATGGTTGCTGCTCAGCAACTTGTAGTAGTACACAATTCCTGCTATGCTTTTAATATGAAACATTTACCAGAAGTATAGCATTGGGGTGTGCTTATATCCTGTTTCATCACCTTTATTTGTTACATTAGGTTCCTTATGGTTGTTCTCTGGTTAAAAAGGAAGTTAACGACCTCCGAATCTATTGCGCAAAACATTACATTAAAGGGAACTGTGACCCTTGCCCTAGAAAGATTGAAAAAAATTGAATTGAACTGATACTGACATTTTTCATTTATTATAAACACAATAGGCTGGTGTAGTTAAGTGAAGCAACCAACGCAGTGTAACGTCCTGTTTGGTCATTATATCCCCACTACTAATGATCCTCAAATGTCTTTTCAGCCTAAACCAGCCCTTCCTCCACAAACAGCTCCTCAGCCAACTCCTCAACCAGCTGCAGCCTCAGCCTCAGCACCGACCTCAGCCTCAGCACCAGCCTCTGGTCCTGCACAAGAACCCTCCACACCGACACACACAGTGTCTGCGCCCACACCTGCCCCACAGTCAGTGCCTCCTTCTGAATCCCCATCTTCATCCCCTGTCCCAGAAAACACAGAATCGACTCCTGCTGAAGCATCAGCAGCTCTGGACTCAAATGTAATCCCAGAATCAGCTCCTGACTTGACTCCAGCAGTCACTCCTCCAGCCTCTGCCCCGGCTTCAGCCCCTGAAACTGATCAAACAGCCGTGGCCACTGCAGACCCCCCCACTCCTGCTACGCAGCTAGATGACAGTCCAAGTGAAAACCCTGAGAATCAACCATCCGTCACGGCACCAGTGCGCACTTCGGTTTCCAGGTGTGAGGAAACATATGTTCTTGTAGACTGGGAGTTTAATTAATTACACGAAACTTGATTAAATGAGTAAGAAATGTCTGTTTAGCTCTGTAAACATGTCATTTGAATTAGAACGTCACTATTTACCCGTTAAAATATTTATTCTTCCTGTGGTTTAAGTATGCTACTATCGCTTGGTAATAAAACAGCCTAACCTTATAAGAGGGTGGCCTGGTGATGCAGGAGTTAGCTGATATAAGAACACAGCATGGGATCCCCTAAGGATTCACAGCAAGTGTGTGTGTTGATGATGTTTCTATTACGTGACAGACACAAAACTGAGGAAAATCAGAAAGAATACAAATATCTCAGGATCAGTGGTGCCACTCAATGTCCAGCCCCCCCACTATCCTCAAAAGATTAGCAATTATAATTTAGTGTGGATACTGGTATGATGATTTCTCATTTTCCTTAACTGAAAAAAACCCAAAAAAACAGGCCCATTGAAAAGACTGCATGAGTGTGTTCTAATTTGGTAAAGGGGACTGTTGGTATGTGCAATATTGAGTGACCTTCTTGTTGCTCATGCTTGCACTTGCTTCATCATCAGGTAAAACACTCATTTAGTTTATGAATGACAACTCGTCAGTTGGTGTTTACCTCTTATTAGCACATATGAACGTGCAGTTACAGCACAACTGTGCCTAAATGTTGCCAATAGCTTTTGTCATTTTGTCTTGTTTCTTTGTTAAAACCACTCTTTTCTCTTTGTTTTTTTTCTCTCAGCCTTGTTGATGAACTAGGACTCCTTGAGGAAGCAGCATCAATACTGGGTAAAAGATCTGTCATTTTCCTTCTCTACATCAAAAATGAAATGATACTGTTGTGCAGGTTAGATTTATTATTTAATTTTTCTTGTTTGCTTTGTACATCCAATATACGATATTATGTAAACTGTAAATGGACTCATTGGTAACTGATCAGAAATACATTATTTAAAATTTCCATGGATGATTTGCGTGTGAACTTTTGAATTGAAGGTTTTCATTTAATAACTGCTGGTACTGAGCTTCACATGGCATTTCCAGTGTGGCCTCATCTAGCTGTTGTTTTCAGCACACTGTAATGCAGATTATTGTTTGAATATTTCAGTGACATAAATGATAGGGATTTCATGGATATTTACAATGGCAGAAAAATTATACTACTAATAAATTCAACATCTATCAAGAAATAAAATCGGAAAAGCATTATATTATAAAGTGAGAGAAAACACACTGATGAAAACTGGTGATTTCCAGCATAATCTTGACTATTACATTTGTGCCTCAACACAGATTTTTTTATTATATAAATATTTACCAGCTCATGAGTGCACAGCAGACACAGAACCTTACAATAAAAACCAGTGTGTAATGATAGTATTGAAACACGTAGCTAATCAGTGTTTGAATAAGTGATAATGTAGAATAAGGGATGGTTGAAAATATCCACTTTAGACATACAGTTTGTGAACTGTACTGGTAGATCCTAGGTGGAAATGTTCCCACTGTCACGATCTTCTTGCACTGAATACTCCACATGTCCCGTTAACCTTGTGAATTATGGGATAGAGCCTGTATTTGATCCGTTCAATCCACAGCAGTGATTCAGTGACGTCATCATCCATGTGGTAAAGACAGTTTTAGCCAAGCCGTGGCAGAGAAATGCAAATGAAACAAGCTTTTGTTGAAACGGAACAGTCTGAGGGAAACTTTCATGTAACATAGTAATAGCAGTCAGGGATTCAGTGGTCAGTCATTGGTCCTTTTTCTTCAGGATCAAAATATCCCAGTTGTTTGCCGCCTCACTGTCCATTGTTACTGGAGCAGGAATTGTGAGCAGCGATTGGCGCATGAGCTTTCATGGTACAAATAGGCTATAAATGATTAAATAAGGAATATATTTTGATACCTACTGTTATTAGCCAGACAGGTCTAAGACATGTATTGACTATTCCTCCTCACTTCATGCAGCATCCTTCCTCTGTTGTTGTTTCCACAGTGACAGGTCCAGCCTATGAGAACCTGGTGTCAGAGATCATGTCTATGGGTTATGAGCGGGAGCAGGTAGTTAATGCACTCAGAGCCAGTTACAACAACCCAGACAGAGCAGTGGAGTATCTACTGATGGTAAGGATTTAACCAGCTCTGCTGCTTGCCCTTTCTGCCCCTGTGTTCCTGGTTGTATAATAAATGTTTATGTACTGTAGGGTATTCCAGTGGAGACCAGTGATCTGCCACTTCAAGAGGTAGTTAGACACAGTGCTTCATCAAACTCCCCAAACCCTACCACAGAGGCACCGCAGCAACCACCAGTCACCTCTAACAGTAAGAGCACATATTTATTAAGATGCTTTCAGACATGCATTGAACTTCTGAGATCCTCTGGAGTCTTTCTGGAGAATGTGTATATATGAATGCAAATGTAGGGGGAGTGAAGACACACGACAGATGCAAAAATGAAAAAATCAGTGCCATGCATGTAGAAGACACCAACAAAGATGTCAAGAGAGTTTGTGTTGATAAGAGCCGACCATGGCGATGTAATGTTAATAAAAACATGTGATGTCCACAGTCAAATTCATTTTTAGAAGTTTAACGTGCTTGCGTATTGTTGAGGGTTAAGGCCTAATTTTAGTGTTCAGGTTAGAATTATATTTACATTAGGATAAAGATACTCCCGGGGACTGACCACAGCTCTATGAGCCAGTGGCATGAGCGTCTTCTTTGACTCCTTAGTACCTGGAACTGTTCGGTGAAAATAACATTAAAGTTCTTTACATTATGACAGTAATGTTGTTTGAAAATGAGTGCTTTCATTGGAATAACAACTAGCTAAACAAAAAGTGGAATTTCCATGGACCGCTGAGCAGATGGGTCAGAGGATCACATGGTTCCACAAAGTCATACAGTTTTGGTCCCTGACATGATGCTACAGCTAACTTCTCATCAAGTAAGAAAATTACAACTAACACTAACTGACAATGTTATTAAGCTCATTTTTGGGGGGAAGTAGTTACGTCACCCTTGAGGACGAATGTATGCTCTTCCTATTGTTTCCCAGATATGGGGTCTCCACAACGGAGGTCTACAGTTGGACCCATCAGGGATGATGTTGCAAATTAATTAGTAGGACTGCTTTATGGCAGTAGTGGATTTTAGTTTGATTTTAGCATTAATTTGATTTTGCATCTGGATGAACTCACTGAACTATGCATAATCAAGGTTTCCTTTCTGGTAATTTTGTCTTTAAACTGTCTCCCACAAATTTTGTTCTGTCACACATCAACAGTAAGCAGCTCAGGGCCAGTGTCTACCAGTCAGCCTCCCTCTGCTGGTGGAGGTTCTGTCCCCACAGCAAACCCTCTGGAGTTCCTAAGGAACCAACCACAGTTCCAGCAGATGAGACAAATCATCCAGCAGAACCCGGCCCTCTTGCCAGCCCTGCTGCAGCAGCTGGGCAGAGACAACCCACAGCTGCTGCAGGTACCAATCCAGCACACTTGCCAAACCATCTGTTTGTCTGTTGCAAAGATGTTTTATTAATTCATTGGCAGAGCAGTAAGAATCTGCAATCTCACTCTGCTGATCAAGGAAAAGTGTCAACATTTAAAGATTGCAAGGGCTTATTTTATGTTTGCTCTTTTCTAATGAACTTCTGCACTTGAACAAGAAAAACATGTATGTATAATAGTACTGTATAATCTGTGTATAAAAAAATCTGAGTACACTTTTAACAAATTATGTTAAAATATAGAAATGATGGCTTTGCTTTAAAGAATCATTGTTTTTACCTTAACTTTTTTATCCTCTGTTTGTTTGGGTGGTTGTTCTGTAACCGTAATCATCTGTTTTGTGAGATCTTCATTAAGAGCTGGGAATGTGTACCACATATATATATGACAGTGCTCGTCCTGACTGATTGCATCACTTGCAGCAAATCACACAGCACCAGGAGCGTTTTGTACAGATGCTGAATGAGCCACGAGGTGGAGACACGGGAGACGAGGGCGCAGAGGCCCAGGGATTACCACAAACAAACTACATCCAGGTCACCGCACAGGAGAAAGAGGCCATTGAGAGGGTCAGTTCACCACTCACACTGACATTAACCTGCATCCAGATGTCTTGTTGTCTAGATAACTTCACAAAATTGCTATTATAAGAATTGGGTAAAAATGTACTCACAATAATGGTTAGTTAAACCTACGATAGTATCATGAATCGTCTGGATTCAAGACAAAACTGAGGGAGACCACACGGTTAATGAGGGATTTGAAAGAAAATGTAATTTATTTATCATATAAGACAATGCTAAGTCAGAAGTCAAACACAAAAACCCTGTTGGTTGGGAAAAAACTCCACAAAAGCCACCAGCAGAGTGGGAGGGGTCATCACAATATATTTTTATGGTTATGTGTTTCAGAGTATGCATATGTGCATGTGACTTTATTTAGAAATGTAGTTGTGATGTTAGGGTTATGGGGAATGCCTTATGTCAACAAGCATCTATGTGTGTGTGGTGTTACAGTTAAAAGCGCTGGGCTTCTCTGAAGGCTTAGTCATCCAGGCGTACTTCGCATGTGAGAAGAATGAGAATCTGGCTGCTAACTTCCTGCTCCAGCAAACATGGGACGATGAGTAAGCAGACAACACCTGACACATCACCTGGACAGAGGGTTTTGGGAGTGGATGACAGTGCAATGCAAAATCCACTGGGGCTGGACAGGGACGTGGGGAGGAAGACAACATTTCTTTTCACGCCATTGTGACTATGGTTTGATAAAGATGGTGACGATAACGACAACGATATGCTGTTCAAAGTTCGCTGTGCTGCCTGCTCTCCATACTGCTGTGATGATCATCAAAGGAGCTCCCACTGAGCTGTACCTCACTGCTGCTACATTATTACTGCTGCTGCTTGAGCTGAGAGAAGACATGTCAACAGTGTGCATCACTTTCACAGGCTTTTATGTAGAGTGTTTCTACTGCAGTCAGCTCACACAACATGTGTTAGACTACTATACATACACACTAGACATGCTGCACAGTGTGTTTGTGGTGAATGTATACACGATGAAAACGAATGCGTGTTCAGAAACGTTCCATGTTGGATTTAATTGAAATTGTAATGCAAACTGTTGACGTCACTGTTTTGAGAGCTAGCACTGCTTTATATTAAAGTTCAGACCGGGTCTGGTCATTTCTTCAGCTTCTTTTGTCCTTTGGAAAGAAAAATCTTGTAAAACATCTCAAACCAAACAAGTCCAAACAGCACAGATGTGTTCTGCAGATGTGCTCCTATGGCTCCATATTTGCTGGTGGAGCATTTGAAACTACCTATTTCCACTGGCAAAATAAATAATTTATGAATTATGATTTAATTTTGGATTTGTAAGTAAGAATAAAACCAATCATCATTTTTTAAAAATGTATCATCACTCACTATCATCAGAGAAACTGTTCTATTTCCATATTTTTATAATTTTTACTTGAAGGTACAGTGTGTAGAATTTAGTGATATCTAGTGTTGAAGTTGCATGTTGCAGCTGAACACCCCTCACCTCACCCTCTCCTTCCAAACATGAAAAAGAACCTGTGGTAGCTTCAGTTGTTATAAAAACTCAAAAGGTGTTTAGTTTGTCCAGACTGGACTAATGTAAAAAACATGGCGGCCTCCATAGAGAGGACCCCCTCGATGTAAATATAAAGTATTTAAATATAAAGAGTCTTTTCTGGGGCAAAGAAAACTACAATTCATATAATTTAGATCAAACAAACTAGTGAAAACATCATGAGGATTATTCTACATTAAATTTCTACCAATAGATCCCTTTCACCTAAATCTTACACACTGGACCTTTAATTTCTCATAATTGGAAAATTACATTTTGATATTTTATGTTGTTATTGTTCCAGACTTATGTAGGGATGTTGCTTTTTTTGGACAGAAATGGGCTGCCAAAAAAGCAACATTAAAAGGAAGGTAAAATGTGTCTGCTGTAATTGAGCAATCAACACCATAAAAAGAAAAACAGTATATAATGTTGCCTTGGTTTTAAGATAGTGTGTGCAGCAGTGATGTGTCATGTGGAAGAAGTGGATCACTTTGCTTGATTTAGTCTTTTATGCTGTTTGACTGTGGGGGATTTGTTGGTTCTGTCATTTGAACATGGAGGAATTTGAAAGTTGTTGATGAGGTGCCACTCTACTCTGTTTTTTAATTTTAAAGAAAGGTTGTTTTAGTATTTCTTAGCTGGAATGAACAGGTGTAGTCCACTTCCTATGTTTAGCCAATTAAGTTCTGTTGTGATTGTTTCACATTTTCTATGCATTTTAAAGCTCCTACATGCCTTACTGGTAGACTTGGACATGTTTCATTTTACTAATGGTGTTGTAGTTTACCATACAGTGTTTAAGATATTTCAAAGATCAGTGTTGTAGGATTGGTGACCTTTGTCAAACTGGATGAATTATGAATTATTGATAATTTATGAGTCATTGCCTCCAAAATGGTCTAAAAGGAAGCTGAATAAGTGCCAGAAGCCAAAACAAAGAAAATTCAAAAAAAGATATATTTTCAGCATTCAGCATGTGCTTTGCTGTTTCTCCTGTTACTTTTCTATATTTTGTTTGAATAGAACTTGCTGCAGCCAGAAGTAAACTGTGGGGGGAAGGCACTTAACTGGGATGTATGCTGCTCTAGCTTGTGAGGAGTTGTTGGTTGCATGAGGTGATGAAACCACCAGTATCGTGTTGCTCTGATCTCAGTTTATCTGTTTTTTTCTTTTTGTTTTGGGTTTATGAAAATAATTTTAAAAAATGTACTTACAACCATGAACACTCCGGTTGAGGTTTTGCTGAATATTTTGGCGGAAAATAAACTCTTGTTCCACCATTGTGTAAAATAAATGGCTTTTACAAAGCGGCAATGTCTTATCATAAATGATTTGGTTGCAACAATCACATATTTCACTGTTAAAGTTTTTACTATATAAAACTATATCAGAAAACAGTAGACTACATCAGATTATATGAGACTACCTCAGATTATATAAAACTACATCAGATTATATGAGACTACATCAGATTATATGAGACTACATCAGATTATATAAAACTACATCAGAAAACATTAGACTACCTTAGATATTATCAGACTACATACAATTACATGAGACTACATCAGATTATATAAAACTACATCAGATTATATAAGACTACATCAGAAAACATTAGACTACATTAAACAATATTAGACTACACCAAACTACATAAAACAGCATCAGATTACATAAAATTATATGGATTAGATACGTTAGATTACATCAGACTACATTAAACGTATTATATAGATTAGATACGTTACGTATCCTAGAGCAGGTGTTTTTATGGTATGGGAGCACTTGGAAGAAACATACGGAAGCCCAGAGGTGATTGAAAGTGCTCTTATGAAAAAATGAGATAATTTCCCAGCCATCTCTAACAAGGACACACACAAGCTCAGGGAATTAGGAGACTTGTTAAAAGAGCTAGAAGCTGCAAATGCTGAGGGGTTCTTGCCTGGACTCATGTATCTAGACAAGGCAAGAGGCGTGAATCCAGTAATCGAGAAGCTTCCTTTCTCTCTGCAGGAACACTGGATCATAACAGGATCCAAATATAAGGAGGATTATCGTGTCCCTTTCCCACCATTCAGCTTTTTTGTTTACTTTGTATGTCCCCAGGCTAAGACCCACAACGACCCCCTCAGCCAATTCAAGGTGGAAAAAGTACCAAAATACTTTCCAAAATCAACTCTGACAGTTAGAAAAACTGAATTCACTACCGCAATCAGGGCGCCACAGGCTAGCACAGCCACCAAGAAAGAAGAATCGGACAAGCAATGTCCTATGCATAATAAACCTCACCCGCTGTCAAAATGCTGTGGTTTCCGAGGAAAGCATCTTGATTAGAGGAAAACATACTTAAAGGAGAATTCAATCTGCTTTCGATGTTGTACTAGTACCAAGCAAATGGCTAAAGATTGCAAGGCCACACTTAAGTGCAGGGAGTGTGAAAGTGACAGGCATACCAGACCTGTGGCTGACAAGATCCCTACGCTTGACACCAGTGCTCCTATTCTCCTTCTGTTAGGCAGATACATTTTGAGCTTGCATAAGGTACGTGAACAGCGTAATGGGCCTCACAACTCACCGTACGCCCAGCGCCTTGACCTTGGCTGGGTCATAGTTGGAGAGTTGTGCTTAGGTGGTGCACACAAGACAGAGGAAGTCAACGCCTACAAGACACATGTCCTTCAAAATGGACGCTCCTCTTTCCTTAAGCCATGCACCAACAACATCCATATAGTCAAGTCATTCTGCAGAGAGACTAAGTCTGATAGATGTAAGGGATGGCATCAATGCGGCCAGCCGCTCACCACAGAGCACTCTCAAGCGAAGGTGCACATCTTCAAGGCAGTGCAGGAGGATGTGTACAAGGAGGAGCTAAAATGTCTAACTCAGGGCATCAAGTTAACTGCCGAAGTCCTCTTGTAAAGTTAGATCCCTTCATTGACAAGAGTGGATTGATCAGAGCGGGAGGTCGGATACACAGGGCAGATCTGGAAGACCAAGAAAACCCCCCACTAATCCTACCAGCTGGCCATCATGTAGCCACTCTCCTAGTCCGGCACTATCATGATAAAATAGCCCACCAGGGTTGCCACTTTACAGAGGGTGCACTGCGCACCACTGGTGTCTGGATAGTAGGAGGAAAGAGGCTCATCTCCAGCATCATATTCAAATGTTGAGGGGCATGGTTCAGGTTCAAAAAATGTCTGATCTTCCCACTGACAGACTGACTACAGACCCGCCTTTCACTCATGTAGGTCTGGACGTTTTTGGTCCGTGGAGTGTCACAATTCGGCAGGTGCGAGGTGGAGCTGCTGAGAGCAAAAGGTGGGCTGTCATTTTCGCTAGCCTAAGTGCAAGGGCCATCCACCTGGAAGTTATTGAGTCCATGTCGACCTCGAGCTTCATCAACGCCTTGAGGCGCTTTCTATCCATACGCAGACCTATCAAACGCCTAAGGTCGGATAGAGGCACAAATTTCATCAGTGCATGCAGAGAGCTTAAGATTAACACAGACGACCCTGAGATCAAGAACTACCCACAAGAGCAAGGCTGCACATGGACCTTTAATGCACCCCATTCCTCAAAAATGGGAGGAGCTTGGGAGAGGTTGATAGGGGTGGCTAGACGGATCCTGGACAGACTGCTGGTGAAGGATGGACCTACCAGACTGACCCACGAAGTTCTAACAACATTGATGGCTGAGGTAATGGCCATCATGAACTCCAGACCGCTGGTCCCAATCTCATATGGTGCCGAGATGCCTGAAATGCTCTCACCTGCCACTCTCTTAACCCAGAAGGTGAGTGCTAATCCTGCACCTCCAGGAAACTTTGAGTCGGACCACCTATGTAAGGTACAATGGCGCCAGGTTCAGAGCTTGGCAGACACCGTCTGGAAAAGGTGGAGACTGGAGTACCTGGCAACTCTTCAGCCACGGAGGAAGTGGACCACGGAGAAGCCTGACCTCCAGGAGGGTGACATTGTTTTGATAAAAGACATTCAAGCAAAGCGTAATGAGTGGCCACTTGGTCGTATAGTTAAGGCCGTTCCTAGCTCGGACTCCAAGGTCCGTAAAGTTATGGTGACGACTCTTAGCCAAGGAGTTCTTAAAGAGTATCTTAGGCCCATTAGTGACGTTGTTTTACTCATACCAAAGGTGAAAGAGTAAACAGTATAACATATTTATAACAAGCGGGGAGTGTTCTGACTCCTGTCAGTGTCTTAATAATGTTTAGTCGCCCCCTAGTGGCATGTCAGGGTTTTTGCGCCTGGAAAGGTCTGACTTGAGAAGTGCCCTAACACACATAACACAAGCAGGCTGTGCTCCACCACAAAGTGGTTGTTGTCTAGGCCTTGGAGTAGATCCATCAGTAAGTATGGCTGCTGTTAGCTCATTTAAGTTGTTGGAAGTGCATTAGAGTTAAAAACCCTTTGTTTTAGTTGGTAAAATAGTGCTTACAATGCTAATGCTAACAGGTTTGTAGCTATTAGCATAGGTGGATTCAATTCAGGCCTTATTCATGTTATATGTTATGTTTATGTGTGAACTATTACCAGCATTTACTGTGTTTATGTTGTTACTTGCCTGTAAGAGAATACTGTAAAAAGATGTGTGTATGCCTCATGTAATATTGTGTTGTACTTACCTGGTTTATAACCTGAAAAGAAAGAAGAAAATGTGACCAGTGTTGTTACATGTATTTAATTTCAATTGTAACATAATGTGTATTTTCATTGTGTTGCAGTTTTACAAAAAAAGTCTCAGAAGATTTCAGTAAATCCCTCTCAACCTGGAATCATGCCT